TCCCGCGGCTTGCCAACCCTCCAGGACTGGCCTGGAGTCTCCAGGACTTAAAGCTTATGTCACGTGACGGAACCTCCAGGAACACGTCGAACTGAAATTGGCAACCCTAGAGCAGGGGGGAGGGCTGTTCCCGGGCGCCCTGCCCTGGCTGTCCTCCGTCCAACCGTCCCTCCCTCCGTCCGTCCCTCCCCACACAGATCCCTCTGTCCCTCCCTCCGTCCATCCCCACACAGATCCCTCTGACCGTCCCTCCCTCCCTCCATCCATCCCCACACAGATCCCTCTGTCCCGCCCTCCGTCTGTCCATCCATCCCTCTGTCTGTCCCTCCCCACACAGATCCCTCTGTCCCTCCCTCTGTCCGTCCATCCATCCCTCTGTCCGTCCATCCCCACACAGATCCCTCTGTCCCTCCCTCTGTCCGTCCCTCCCCACACAGATCCCTCTGTCCCTCCCTCCGTCTGTCCCTCCCCACACAGATCCCTCTGTCCGTCCCTCCCTCCGTCCATCCATCCCCACACAGATCCCTCTGTCCGTACCTCCCTCCATCCGTCCATCCCCACACAGATCCCTCTGTCCTGCCCTCTGTCCGTCCCGCCCTCCATCTGTCCATCCCCACACAGATCCCTCTGCCCCTCCCTCCAGCCATCCCCACATAGACCCATCTAATCGCTCCTCGTGCTCTGTCACCGCACCAGCCAAAGCCCTGAGGCACTGACACAGCCAGAATGGGGGACGCTTTCCCTCCCCACCGCCCCCACCTGACTGGCTGTTCTCTGGGCAGCATCGGTGTCAGCCAGCTGGAAAACCGGTTCGCTCACTCCCAGCCCCACGCCCTGGGCCCTGCTTGTCAGAACATGGGAACAGCCCTACTGGGTCAGACCAAGGGTCCATCTAGGCCAGTATCCTGTCTTCCGACAGGGGCCAGTGCCAGGTGCCCCAGAGGGAATGAACAGAGCAGGGAATCATCCAGTGATCCATCCCCTGTCGCCCATTCCCAGCTCCTGGCAAACAATGTCCAAATGTCTCACCTGCACCTGGGCATAACTACGCAGCCAACAGGGAACCCAGCATGCGGGCTGAGGCACTGAGAGAAGAAGATGGATTTGGGTCAGAACACAAGACTGGGAGCCAGGACTCCTGGGTCTGTCCCTGGCTCTTTGAGGGGAGGGGGGCCTAGGGGGCTGGAACAGAGGGGCTGGGAGCCAGGACTCCGGGGTTCTAACCCTGTCTGCCAGAGTCACTGGGTGGCCTTGGGTGATGTCCCCCAGCCCCAGCTCGCTGCATGGAGGTGGTGATGTGAACTCGGAGGTATAGCCCAGGCCCCGCTTCCTCCGGGGGCAGGGAGGACTCTGAGGTGATGGGAGAGGGGTATCCACCCGAGTACACTCGCCTCACCAGCCTCCCTTCCCTGTGCCCACCTGGGAGAGTGGCAGGAAGGCCCCAGGGCGATGGGGGCTCATGTAAAGCGAGACACTCAGAGCAGGCAGGAGGGCAAGGCAGGCCAGGGTGGGGCAGACTCCCCGAGCAGCAGCTCCCCCCACCTGCGCAGGTGACTCGGGTGGGGTCACAGGCACAACCTGTTTGGCCACAACCGGTGCCCAGGAGGGAAAGAATCAAAATGTTCCTGGCTCCTTGCTCACCTCAGCTCACCCCACCCACCCGCCCGCCCGCCCCTGCCCTCCACCCCCTGCCCCCGCCTGCTGCTCCAAGGAGGGGCTCCCTGGCGGCCTGATTCAGACATGGCCCTGGGCCAGGCCCCCACTGCCCAGCCGCCAAGCCAAACAGGGGCTCTGTACAGACATTAGCTCACTGGCAGGAGGCAAGTCCATTCCGGGGGCAGGGATCCAGCTCCGGCTCTCCCCTGCTGCCGGATCACTGCCGCCAGAGCCCATTCCAGTGGGCACAGATCCAGGGCCGGGTCATCCCTCCTGCTGGGGCAATTACCCTGCACATACCTGGCTGCTGACCCGACAAGGGGGTTCAGCCCTTGGGTGTGTCCCCAGTGGGGTGGGGGAGGGTTGCAAACCTGTCCTCTGGGGCGATGGCCTTGAGGTGCCTGGCCCTGCCCGCGCCCCCTCCCACATTCCTCCCCCCCCACCAGGGCAAATCCTCTGCATTGTCCAGAGAGAGCGAGAGGAGCTTTGGTCCATCTGCTCATCCCTCCCTCCCTCTCCCCCTTGCTCCGCAAAGCCCTGGCACTCTGCTTACAGTAACCCACATGCTGGGGAGGGGGGCAGAGGGAGCTAGCCAGGAGCCACCCGGGGGCCTGGCGAGAGCTGGGGTACCTCCAGGGAGTGGCCTGCCTGGCCCAGCCTGGCTGCTGTCCCCCCTTGGCCTGAGCAGGGAAGCAGGGGAGGGGGCTGCTGAGGAGCTGGGGACGCGTGGGGACGGATGAGGCGAGTGAGGGGGAAATCCAAAGAAAATCCCCTCTTTGGTGCTGACTTGCAGCCGGCCCAGCCGCCCACCTGCCCGAAACCAGCCTCCCACGGTCCCTCCCACTTTCACTTTCAGGGGCCGTGCAGCTGCACCCCAGGGAGGTGGGGGGGGCTGGGGGGCCAGGATGTGGCTGGCAGCCCTGGTCCCTGGAACGATCCTGGAATCAGGGCCACCACGGGCCTAAGGTGCCAGGCGCTGGGCAATGCCAGGCAAGCCTGGCCCAGGCCCGCTGAGGGCTGGTCACCGTTGGCCCCCATGGGCCGGGTGGGGGGCACCACACCCTGGGAAATGGGATGCAGAGGCGCAGACCCTGCTGTGCAGAGACATCCATGTCCCAGCCGGCTCCTGGGGGCGTCAGACGGGTGGGGGGAGCTTCCGAGCCTTCCTGCACCCCGACCACTTCAGAGGCAGCTCGGAGGATGAAAGGCGCCCAGTGCTTCGTGTCACAAACCCCCTGAGGCCGCCAAGAGCCGAAATCAAACCCACCGCAGGCCCCGGCGTCGCCAGCTATTTATAGACGCCGCAGGGGAAATGGTTCTAAGGAGGAACCGGCAGGAGGGGCAGGAGCCCCCAGCTCCCTGCATCAGCTCAGACCTGGCCCACGGCCTCCCACTTCCACATAGGGCGGCACCCAGGGCTACCGGGGAGCCCAGTTCAGGTGCCAGAGCCCATGGGGGTGGGAGCCCAGCACTGGATGGAGAGATTCCACTGCAGAGCAAGAGGCCAGGGACAGCGTCCGGCCCCCCTTTTGCCCTGGCCTCCCCGCTGCAGATGGTGCCAGCCAAGCCCATTGCTGGCTGCTGGGAGTCAGGCCTGGGCGCTGGGCGGGCACCCCCCCAACACCCCCTGGCTCCGGCGAGTAGTAGGGGGAAGTGCTCACAGCTGGCAAGGCCGCACTCCTCCTCCCTCGCTTCCCCATTCCCTCGCTCTCTCTCCCCCTCCCCCGGTTTTCTCTAAGTCGGGCGGCTTCTCTGCAAGCCCCGTGGGCTGGATTGGCGCGTGTTTATAGGAAAGAGTCTCTCCCCCCTGGCCCCCCCAGGTCTTGCTGAGCCCGCAGCCCCTAGTGTTCTAGGAACCAGACACCAAACCACACAGCCCCCCGGCGCCCCGCCCTCGCCCCAGTGCAGGCTGGCAGATACCAACCCCCTTCCCCTGTTGGGGTTGCGTGGTGCTATTTTTAGGCACTGGTCTATTTTGGGGTGCGGGGCTGTGGCTATGTGGCACGGGGGCTGGGCCCATCCCCGTCTCTGCTGCCACGGGCGAGCCTGTCAGCCAGAGCCCCCAAACCACCCATGTGCAGCCGGCACCCCCAGCTCAGCCCTCGTCTGGCCGTGCCCCCCACCGCAGACCCTGGGGCGGTGGCTGGCACCCCCAGCTCAGCCCCAGCATGAGGGAGCTGGGAAGTCGCTTTGCAGGTGCCCTGTCCCCACTCAGCCCAGGACATTCCCAGGGGCCCCGAGCAGGGCAGGCGGGGGCATCGCCGGGCACTCACCTTCCGCCCCCCCAGGACACAGCCCTCCCGGGGCGCTGGGCAGCACAGCAGAGATGCAGACGCCTGAGGGCAGTGGGGCCAGCCTGAGGGCAGGGAGCCTCTGATCCCATCTCTGCCCAGCCGGGCAGCGTGGCAGGAAGGACCGGGCGGTCATTGCCGACAGCTGCGGGCGGCGCTGCCTTGTTCTGGCCTGCAGAGGGCACTGCTGGGCACCGACCGGGGAGAGGCGCTTCGGAGCCGGCGTGCAAAGGGGAGCCGGCATGGGCTGCACGTGTGTGTGTGTGCGTGTGTGCGTGCGCACAGGGGTGCCCGTGCGAGTGTGCGCAGGGGTGCACATGTGTGTGTGTGTGCGTGCGCGCAGGGGTGCCCGTGCCCGTGTGCACACAGGGGTGTATGTACGTGTGTGAATGTGTGCGCAGGGGTGCATGTGCGTGTGTGTGTGCGTGCACAGGGGTGCACATGTGTGTGTGTGTGCGCACAGGGGTGCACGTGTGTGTGTGTGTGTGTGCACGCAGGGGTGTGTGTGTGTGTGTGCGCAGGGGTGCCCGTGTGTGTGCGCGCGCACGGGTGTATGTACATGTGTGCACGCAGGGGTGCATGTACGTGTGTGTGTGCGCAGGGGGGTATATGTATGTGTGTGCAGGGGTGCTGTACATACGTGTGTGTGTGCCCATGCGTGTGCATGCTGGCCTGTGAGGGGTGCATGGACATGCGTGTGGCACACCGGGCTGGGCTGCCCAGCGAACCCGCTGTGGGGCCATGGTGTGTGATGTGGTGGTGCCGGTGTTTGGGGTGGGGGGTGCATATCAGAGCCATGGCAGGAAGGCCCCCACCCCCAGCCCCAATTCTAAGGGAGGCCTGGTGCCCACAGGCTGGGGTCCCTCCCTGCCCCACACCCAGACCCAGCTGTGATGGGACAATACCTGTAGCACCCAGCACTGGGGGGGCTGGCTCCTCGCCAACTGCCACGGTGGTTATCGAGCTCCCCCCCGCCCCGGGCGGCGCTGCAGCTCCCCATGCGCTGGGCACAGGAGGTGGGTCCGGCGCAGGGACAACGCTTGGCAGCAGCGATTCGGTGGCACCGTTTATTGGAGTTATAAATAACAGCGACGGGCTAGGCATGTGGCTGGAAGAACTTAGAGCTCCTCATGCAACACCGGTGCCGGCCCGGCCCGACTCCAGCAGGGCCCCTGTGCCCAGCAGGGCTGGCTGCGGAGATGGCCAGGTCTGGGTCTGCACTGCGGGGGAACCTGCAGCACTGCCCCTCTGCCCTGCCAGGCTGGGCCCGGTGCTGTCTGCTGCATGCAGGACACTCTGCCAGTCATGAGAACTCCCCCCCCAGCCCCGGAGCCCTCCTAACGCGGGGGCTTTGGCTGCTGCTGGCCACCCCCAGCCCTGCTGGCTTCTTCTGCCAGCTCTGAGCTGCCCCCCAGCCTCTCCCCACTCTCTGTGCCTCCCCCTATGCACAGACCAGCCTCTGAGCCCACACCCCAAAGCCCAAGCTCTGAGGCTACCAGGATCCTTCTGAGCCCTGGGGATCGGGCCCTGGGCAGAGCCCCCAGGGCCAAGAATTCGCCCTGTGCTGAGTCCTGCCCCCACTGCTACCTCCCTCCTGCTTCACCTCCTCCCCACCTTTGCAGACGTGCTCAGACCCTCTCAACCTCGAAACCCCTAACCAGCCCAGCCCAGCCCAGCTCAGCCCAGCCCAGCCCAGCCCAGCTCAGCTCAGCCCAGCAGGCTCCCAGCGGGGGCTGAGACCGGCTACCCCCTGGGCCAGTGCCCAGAATGGATCAGCTGGCAAGTGGGCAGGGGGTCAGGCTGGCACATGGAGCCGCTCCCCCGCACTTGGCAGATTTTTAATCTACTTTTCTTTACAAAAATAAGATAATTTGAAATAAATGTGAGAACCGCCCAGTCCCCCACCACTGCCTCCCTGCCAGGCGTGTCCGACACCACAGGGCAGGGGCTGGGGGAAGGCAGAGGGACGGGGGCTGGGGGTAAAGGGAGATGGGGTGGGGAAGGGGATGTGGGGGCAGAGGGATGGGGTGGGGCTGGGGGAGGACAGGGGGGTGGGATTGCCAGAGGGACGGGGATGGGGGGCTGGAGATAAGGGGAAGAGGTGCGGGGGAGGAAGCTGGGGGGCAGGCCAGCGGGAGTGGGGCAGACAGGGGCTGACCAGGGCCGTAGCGCCCGGGCTGGGGATGGCTGGAGAGGCCCAGAGGCCATGATTGGGTCGGGCAGAGGGAGGCTGCAATAGGGTTTCTAGGCAGAGGGGCAGAGGCTGCTGGGCCAGGCCTCAGCGGTGGGGGCCCGAGGACGCTCTCCCACTCCAGTCGGCTGGCAGGGCCCGTGGCCGCAGCGGGAGCGGCTGGGCTGGGCCCCGGCTCAGCGGGGCTTGGTGAGCAGGATCTCCAGCCAGCAGGGGCAGGCGGTGATGAACTGCCGCGAGTAGCAGGGGCCCCAGCCCTTGGCGAAGCTAATGCGGATGCTGTTGGGGTCGCAGGGCCCATCGCCCGGCCTCCGCCAGCCGGCCTGGCCACCCGCGCGCTCATAGTCAAAGACCTGCAGGGAGTAACCGGGCAGCACCTTGTGCACGGGTGGGCCGCGGGCGCTGGGGGGCCCCAGCGTGGGAGAGCTGACGAAGATGGGGTGCTCGCTGCGGTTGTAGGTCCACACCCCGTCCCGCTCCCGGCTCAGCAGCAGCCCGCGGCCGATCTTGCTCCGGGCCCGGCGTACGGCCGCGCTGCGCCTCTCGGCCTGCAGCTGGCCCAGGGAGAAGCCGCTCCCCTGCGGCAGCTCGCAGAAGATGTTGACGGAGGTTTCGTGCACGGCGTAGAGACGGCCCACCCGTGTCCGGTGCTCCCAATAGGCCAACTTGCACCAGCAGCCGTCCCTGGTGGTGCTCCATGCCAGGCCGGGGTCTGCAGGAGCGAGAAGGGAACCTCTGAGCCCATGCACAGAGCAGCCCCCAGACCCCCCCACTGAGCCCCCAGAGAATGAATAGACCACCCAGGGACCCTCCCTGGCTCTGGGATGAAGCCCCTCTGGGGTGGGGTGTGGGGGCAGGTTATACAGAGACCCCTCGCCCGGTGCTGGGATGCAGCCCCTCTGGGGTGGGACGCAGGGGTGTTTATACAGGGACCCCTCCCCCAGCACTGGCCGTTGGGGCGGGGGGACATGAGGGCTAGTTAAACAGGGACCCCTCACCTGGTGCGGAGAGGCAGCTGGCTCTGGGGTAGGGCACGGGGGCTGGTTATGCAGGGACCCCTCCCCCAGCACTGGCTGTGGGGGGGATGGGGACGTGAGGGCTAGTTAAACAGGGACCCCTCACCTGGTGTGGAGAGGCAGCTGGCTCTGGGGTGGGGCACGGGGGCTGGTTATGCAGGGACCCCTTGCCTGGCACTGGCCATGGGTGAGCTGCGGGGCTCTGGATACAGAACCAGTTTAGCCCCAGCAGCGGAGGAGGCCCCTGCGTCTCTTTCAAGTGGCTGGGGGCTGGCGGCAGGCCAGCCTGAATGCTCCAGCTTGAAATTGGGCCCGGCCAGCAGTGGGGGGCGGGTGGGCAACGGGGCCTGGGCTCTGCAAGGGCCAGTTTCAGGCCCCATCTCTGCTGGCCCTCCTGGGGTTCTGGCTGCCTGACCCCGCTGGCCCCAAGCAGACGGACCTCCCAGCTCCCCAGGGTCAGCCCCCCGGGGTACTGTGGGGCAGCTGGGCTGGAGCAGGGCGTCCGACTCCGTCGCGGAGCCGGACTATCCCCGGGGGCGTGAGTCACGGTGGGGTGCTGTGAGCCGGCACGTAGGCCTAGGACGGCCCCAGCCACCGTCCCAGGGGACCGCCCGCCGTGGCGCGGCAAGTGGGGGGCGGGCCTGGCAGAGGGCGCCGGTCCCAAGGCCCTGGAGCCGTGGGAGGGAGGGTGGAGCGTGGGGAAGGAGCCGGTGGCCGGCAGCCAGGCCGGAGCGCGGCTTGTGCGTCAAGGCACATTGTGAGTGTCCCTGTGGGCAGCACTTCCTGCGGCGGGGAACGCGGACGGGCCAAAAATAACAGGCGCAGCTTTTCCTCCCGGGCTCAGGTGGGGGGGCCTGACTCGGGGGACGGGGGGTGGTTATCACCCCCCCAACCCCTTCCCCTGAAGCCCCAGAGGAGATGGGGGGCAGCAGCAAGGTCAGATCTGCTCTGGGGGGGGCAGACCTCCCCCCGCCCCTCCCCCCAACTCTTTCTGACCTACGGAAGGGGAAGCCCCGGGCCCCGCAGCTGGGCCCCTGCTCTGCAAAGGGCTGAGCCGGCAGGGGAGGGCCCAGCAGGCCCCAGGGGCCCCATGTCGGCAGCTCTCCAGGCTCCGACGGCTGGGATGGCTCAGCGGGGGAGGGGGAGCACCTGACCCACACCTGGTGCTGCTGGTTCCTGAGCGGGGGGCTTCTCGATGGCTCCACCCAGGGGCCCTTCTTCCCCAGTGGGGCCCCCAAAATCTCGTGCGGGAGGAAGGTGGCAGCAGGATCCCCTCGATACCCAGGGCTGTAGCCTGGCAACACTGGTCCCCACCCAGCCCAGGGCTGGTCATTCGGAGTCCCCTGACGCTCCCCGCCTGGGCCTGGGGGGTCACATCCCCTGGGTGCCCCCCAGTCCCTATGGGCATCCCTTGTGCCCCGGTCCCCACCGTACCTCGCCAGTCTCCGTGGGCATTGCAACCAGACTCCAGGTGGCTGGAGTTGGGGCGCTCCGACACCTCTGCCCAGAGGCAGCTGAAGGGGGAGATTTTGGAATAAGGGGGTGGCGGTGTCTCTGAAAGGGAACCAGACAAGAGCAGAAACCAGTGAGCAGCTGTCTCGGGGCAGCCCCCTCCCCACCCCACTCCGATGCCAGCCCTCCCCTTCCGGCCCAAAACAGCCCCAAAACCAGCAGGGCAAGGGGGGCCAAGTTCTGGGGATAGACAGATAGAGGGGGTGTCTGGGGATAGATAGATAGATAGATAGATAGATAGATAGATAGATAGATAGAGGGGGTGTCTGGG